CTCTAGCACTAGTGGTTATATTTAGGCAAAAGTTTGTAGTCTTCTTTCCCTTTTATGGAACATTTTGATAAAAAATGCAAAACAGGGTTTAATTTTTTTTTTTCTATCAACTTTGAATTGGAAATTTGGATCACCTAGGTTCTCCTGTATCTATTTAAATGAAGGGAAAAGAATTCCACCAAGGGGATTGCAACTTATAGAATTTGGGAATAAAGCCTCTTAGTATTAAACTTGAAGGTGTGGTCCCTGCCTCTCCCCTGTCCTCTTCATTCAAGGACTTTGGGGATTTGCTCCGGTGGCTGGTGGATAGGTTTACTGTCCCCTTTCCACAGGCTTGGAGTTAGCACTGACATTACAATTTCATAATCCCAGCCACCAACACCTCCTGCCTCTTACCCTAGAGCCAGTCTGTTCTTGTTAACAGTAAGAATCCTGTGTTCCCACTTCAGTGATACCTGAATTTGTTGTTTTTTAATTGTCTTTAAGGAGGAAGGGCCCCATTGAGGGGTAAACTTGTAATAAATTGGAATTTCAAATAAACATTATGTACTTGTGTTTATAAAGAAAAAACAATGCTGGTGACTCTTTGTGCTCCTTGGGTGCTAGTGGATAGTATATAGTCTGAGTCTTCAGTTTTCCTACTGAGTCTTGGAACCAGTTATTCCTCAGCATTGAGAGGACCTTTGACTTAGTCTTTTTTTTTTTTTTTAATGTTTTTATTTATTTGGGAGAGGGAGAGAGGAATGGAAACATCAATGATGAGAGAATCATTGATCGGCTGCCTCCTGCATGCCCCCTACTGGGGATCGAGCCTGCAACCCTGGGCATGTGCCTTGACCGGGAATCAACTCCTGGTTCATGGGTCGACCCTCAACCATCTGAGCCACACCGGCCGGGCTGACTTAGCCTTTTTAACCACAGGTTAGGGCCAGCTTCTCATTTCCTTGCTTCCAGGAGACATTTCTGATGACCCGGGTACAAAGTAAGACCTTCGTTTTCCCTGGCCTTGTCTCTGTCCAAAACCCCCCAACATTTTATTTGAAATTACTAAGAATTAGAGGAAATTATTTTTTTAAGTCTTCACTATAGAAATTTATGTAGATTTTTAGTTAATTTTGGGGAAACTCCTGACATTTTAAAAACTTTCTGGGAGTCCTGGTCAGTGTGCTAAGTGGTTAGAGCATCAGCCTGCGCACGGAAGGGTCTTGGGTTTGATTCCTGGTCAAGGGCATGTACCTGGGTTGTGGGCTCACTCCCCACCCTCAGTCGGGGCATGTGTAGGAGGCAACCAGTTGATGTGTCTCTTTCACATTGATGTTTCTCCCTTCCACTCTGGAAAACAATGGAAAAATATCCTTGGATGAGGATTAAAAAAAAAAACTTTCAAGGAAAATTTCAAACACAAAAAGAGTAAATATATAATGGATTCTCATGTACTCAGCTTCAACAATTCTACCATGTAGCCAATCTTGTTTTCTCTGTACTTTTTTTTATGCTGGAAGTTTTATAAAGTCCAAGTGGTTGATTCAGGTAGTCACCGCTGGGTGGCAGCTTACCTATGGACTTCAAAGGTTTTGTAGAGCCACTGCATGCTCCCATTTATTGAGAAAAGAAACTACCAATTCCTGACCACCTGAACCCAAGCCCTGGGTGTGGGTTCTGCCATTGACTCATTGTGTGGCCTTGCTGAATGCGGGCTTTGAGCCAGGCCTGCCCTGAGCACTTGGGGATTTTCCGTCCTGCAGGGGAGGAAGCAGTTTGCCCCAAGGTCAGATTGGTTTGATCAGCCCTCAGGCTCTGGAGAAGGGGGCTATGTTACCTGGGAGCATTTTCTACACACAGTTGGACTCCCACCTCGTGTGTATGCAGTTCTGTCCCTCAGGCAGGTTCCTTAGGCCACACTAGGATAGTGCTGTTGGGACCATGGGTCTGTATCCTGGTCCTGCCCAACCTTGAGAAGCACCCTTTCTCTCTACTTCTTCCCCGGGGGTGTGACCTTGGGGAGCCACCTAGTTTTGGTTGAGTATTATAAAGGGGGACAAAAACTTACCCTTTGTTGTTAATTCTCACATGATATTTTCCCATTGCTTTTCAGAGAGTGGAAGGGTGGGGAAAGAGAAGCATCAATGTGAGAGACACATCACTGGTTGCTTCCTTCATGTGCTCTGCCCCAGGTCAGGGAGGGAACCGGGAATCCAAGTACATGCTCTTGACCCAGAATTAAATCCTGGACCCTTCCGTGCACCAGCCAAAGCTCCAGCACTGAGCCATACCAGCCAGGGCGAGAATTTTTATTCTTGAAGATGGGCATGAATCATTACTTCTGAGAACCAACTAAGGCCTCTCCCTCATCCTGACTTCTTTTTCCTCAAACCCTGTCTCTGGGGAGGAGGTACAGTCAGGGGTGGCAGTGAGGTGGGGTCTGGATTCCAAAGCCACCACTTGGGCAGGGAGCCAGGGTCTCCTTGGCAGGGGTGAGAAAACTCAGGGGAGGTAGAAAGAGGTTGCCCTTCTGTTAACAGCTTCCATTCTTGCCCAGGGCCTGGAGGCCTTTTTTACACCCAGGACTGCTCTGGAATGCTGGGACTTTCCCTTTCAGGGTAGAACTGATAGCAGCTACTGACCACCGAGGCAGGTCAATCTGACCTCCTTGCTGACTCCTGTGAACTGACCTAAGAAGTTCCCTTAACTCAGGCTCTCCCAGCCACAAGTTCAGACACGTGCTGTGGTGCCCTGAAGACCCACCTGCTGGGCCACCAGGGCCACTGAGGGGAGGGGCTGGAGGCACACAATGAACAGTCTAGCAGGTGTTGATTTCTGAGGCATTTTGGGGGGCTCTGGAATTACTTGTCTTGGGGTGTGGAGAGACCCTGCTTTGGGAGGGGCTTCTCTGGACAAAACAACCCCAGGTTACAACATTTGCTGTTCCCCTGGGACGTGGTGGTGGTGGAGGAAGTCACAAAAGTTCTGGAGGCTGCAGACCACCTACCTGTCTGTGTGAGGAGCCAGCCAAGTCCTCCACTTTCCCCTATCTGTAAAGTGGGGAGAGGAGGACCAAATTGAGGACTTCTGTAAGAGGCCTTTAATAACTGTTTCCTTCTTCTCCTCTAGGGCCTGGGACATTTCTATAGTGTCTCCCAGTGCTGAGAAGCCTTGGCTGGCAAGGTCCATCCTCCCTCCCTCCCAAGTACTGGCCCATGTGAACCATCTCAGGCTCAAAGCAGACAGAGCCCCCTTGGGGCTGGTCGTGACTACACCTCCCCCTCAGTCCCCACCCGCCTCCTAGTTGTTCTGGAAGCCAGTCTGGTTTCTGCTGAGTGAAACATAGCCAAGGACCCCCCTCCCTTGTCCAATGACTGGCAAGGAATAGGGTGAACTGGTGCCATTTTAATACTAATTCTTCCCTCCACCCTTCACATTTGCCTTTTTCTTACCATCTCCGGAATCCTTTTGCTCCAGCTGCCCGTCCAGTGCAGGCCCTTTAGCAGCTTCAGCTCCACCCGCTCCCTGCAGACCTGGCCAATAAGCCCAGCTTGGTGCAGCCACTGCCCCTCCCACTCTGAACTTGGGCCCCTGTCACTTTCAATAAGCTCATCCTGTCTCACTCAAGGACCCTCACAGGGAGAGTTACAAGGTGTTACGGTCATTTGGCTTCATTGATCAAAGAAGGCACAGGGACCTACTGTGTGCTCTGTGAGAAGGGAAGGATTAAGATGGGGAAGGCATTCCACATGTAAGAGACACAGAAGCAAAAAGGCACAAGGGTTGCAAAATTCCCCCAGAGGTCAGTACTGTTATATATGATGAGGCACAGCCCTAAACCCATCTCAACTACTGATGGAGCTGTTGTTCGTTTTCATCTGGTTTCTCTCTTGTCCTGTGAGATGGGTGGTTGGTGCAGGGCAAGAACTCTGTCCTGAGAGGCTCTGGGTTTGGGGGGCTGACCCCTACCACTGAAATGAAGCTACTGACCTTGGGCCTCCCCTTGGCTCCAAAGTGAGGCCGGCAGCGGAACTAGATCCTTGGGGCCTCCTGGCAGTGACAATGAATGCCACTGTGCCATACACCCAGGGACAGTAACCAAGACCCTCACATCGCTCGAGGTGAGGGTCACAGTGGCCACAGCTGAGGCCATGATGGGGCCCTGTAGTCTAATCCCAAGCTGATGGGGGTCCCATGGACCTTTTCCTAGCCCCTGGCATCCATGCATACTGCCTTGTACCTGCCCAATTTATTATTGCTGCTCCCGTACCTCAAATCTTTCCACAGCTTCTTAGGAGCTGAAGGCCCAATTCCCACTATACTCGGGCTCCCATCTCTATGTCTATGTCTGCTACCAAGAGGCCCATATACCAGTCTAGTCCCATCTCTACGCCACCCAGAGAGAACCCCAGGGCCCCAACTAGGGAAGTGGGTGCACTGACAATCTTCAAAGGCAATACGGATGGCCAGACAACAGCCTCAGACCCCAGGGAAGACAGCAGGCTGGGCTACAGGAGGCAGTAGGAGCAGGGCCTGAAGCTCTGAGAACCTTTGAGATAGACCGATGCCCTCATTTTCTACACAAATGAGGAAAGCAGTCTGCGAAAAGGAAGACTTACTAAACACAACCCCCAAATAGGCTAGATTCTCCAAGGCCAGAGATGAGTATGTCATCCCGGGGGATTCCCTGAGTATCCCAGCAGGCAGGCATCCCAGCCTCACTTTGGGAAGCAGGAACCCAGGCCTCAGAAATAGGCAAGCAGGTTGCCAACAGGAGCAAAGACAGGCAAAAGGGAAACACACACACACACACACACCAAACACACACACACACACACACACACACACACGCAGACTCTGAGACTCTTGCAAAACACAGCTGTTCCATGGGGGACAGTCTCCTGATTGGTGGGGAGCCAGAGAACAGGGGCAGAGACCCACCCCAGCTCTGCTCACAAAGGAGATTCCTGCAGAGCCCCCGACCCTCCCACCTTCCCAGCCCAGAGAGGACTCAGGGGTGCCACATGGGGGTTTATTCCAGTCACAGCTTCCAGAGAAACTCAACAATAAATTACATCATTAAATAAACTCCCTGCTGGACCCTGCCCCCTCCTGCCCCTTCTCCACATGCTCCCCTGGGACACTGTGGGGACATAGCCAGGCCACCCCCTGCGTTAGGCCACAGGGGAGTGAGCCTCACTGGGTCCTCACATGTGAGGGTTGAAGGAGAGTCTCCCTGCCCTGGTCCTCAGCCCCCTTGCACTCACTTGCCTGACCTTGACAGCTGGGCAGCTGCTAGTCAGCTGTCTCCTCCAGAGGGGGAGGGGGGTAGAGGAGGGGGCAACAGCCGCCCTGAGTAGGCCTGTGTACCTAGAGGTGTGTGGGGTTCTCCAGAGAGGGGTCCGTCTTAGTCATGTGCAAGACCACGGTGGGAGCTTTATAGTGGCAGTGGGTGCCACGGCCATAGCCTCCTGGGGCCCGGCAGGCCTTTGCCCGGGCCCGGCCAGCTGCCATCTTGCGGTGACACAGGCTCTGCCAGGTCTGGAACGTCTTGGAGCTCCAGACCCAGACACCGCTGGTTATGCCCACCACCAGCGACATGAAGATTTTTAGCATAAAGACAGCCACAGTGGGCACTGAGCCTCCTTGCAGCGAGCAGTCCCTCCGGCCACCCGGCACACTGGCTGGGGAACACAGCTGCTCTGTTGCCCGAAGGCGCCAGAAGTCCATGTTGAGGCGCTCATAGACGTAGCACACAATGACGCAGGTGGCAGGCACCGTGTACAGGATGGAGAAGACCCCTATCTTGACCATGAGCTTCTCCAGCTTCTCTGTGTTGGTGCCGCCTGTCTTCATGATCTTGCGGATGTGGAAGAGGGCCACGAAGCCAGTCAGGAGGAAGCTGGTGCCCAGCACCAAGTAGCAGGAGAGGGGCACCAGCACGAAGCCTGTGAGCGCCGCCGCGTCCATGCTGGCCACGTAGCAGAGCCCGGTCAGCTCGTCCCCGGCTACCTTGCGCAGCGTCAGGATCACGATGGTCTTCAGGGCCGGCAGGCCCCAGGCCGCCAGGTGGAAGTAGCTGCCGTGGGCCTCGATCGCCTCGTGGCCCCATTTCTTGCCGGCTGCCAGGAACCAGGTGAGCGTCAGCACGACCCACCACAGGGAGCTGGCCATGCCGAAGTAGTAGAGCAGCAAGAAGACGAGGGTGCAGCCCGTGTTCTCCAGGCCCTCCTGGATCACATAGAGCGCGCCCGCCTCCTGGTCGCAGGCCACGCTCTGGGCCCCGGCCACCGCGCGGATGAGGAAGGCCAGCGAATAGACGTTGTAGCACATGGAGAGGAAGATGATGGGGCGCTCGGGGTACTGGAAGCGGTGAGGCTCCAGCAGGAAGGTGAGGACGGTGAAGGCCGTGGAGAAGAAGCACAGTGCCGACCACACGGCCATCCAGACGAGCGCGAAGTCCTTGTCGCGCCGCGACCAAAACACCTCGACCCCCGGCGCGCAGGGGGGGGAAGGAACCGCTTCTTCTTCGATGACTTGAACTTCCTGGGGTTTCCGAAGGGGCCGCCCGCCCCCCCCCCGGGCCCGGGG